GATTAAATGATCTGTCTGCTAAAATTAGGTTTAAGGCTGGCTTTAAAAGCAGAAACAGAGTCAGCTGAACGGATGAATGGAAAGTGGAAGAATGTCCCTGAGCCGAGCCGCCATAACTGAAAAGGCCCGATCACCCTTTGACCTCAACCTTGACTCGGGTCCGGCGAGCAGGCTTGAGCAGTCGGGAGTTAAAGCTCATTTAAATAATCGGGTGCAAGGCCACGAAGGGATTTGTAAGTTGTCAGTAAAATGTTAAAATCCTTCTAAAGGAGATTGGCAACCAGTGCAGTGAAGCTAAAACTAAGGCAGGTATCACTGCTGAGGATGTGGGTCTCTGCACATGTCTGCTGGTTTATGATGCCTATCTTTATGAGGTATCTGTGTTTCTAAGTGTCACAAGCATGTTTATCTTCCATGATTACCAAAAGAGAATTTTTGCATGTTTTTGGGACAGAAATATTGCATTGCGCTCCATCTCGGTACACATGAGTTATTATCTGTCAGATGGGCTTCAAAACATCTGAGCTTAAACTTCCTCTTCCATCTGCTGGTTCAGATTCCTACTAGAAACTACAAACTCAAGAAAGGAGAGACAATGTTTGAAATTGGTACAGCTCTGCTTCAGCCACTCCTCAACTCTGGCCCTGGACTGATCCAAATTAGTCACTACACTCTACTAGGAGTCTGCAAACTGATCCCTCCCATTAACCCACAGCTCTGCTGTAGCCACTGAACAGGAGCTACACCAGAGGGTGAACAGATACCATCATGTATCTACAGTAGTAGTAATGGAGACACCTCTTTCATTAACACAAACTCCTCATACTGAAGGCCTCACTGTCACAGGGGACAGACCTAAACATTAGGGACCCTCTAAGCTGCACAAACTTCAAAAGATGTGATCTTGACAAAGTACCTTCTGCTTAAACTAAAGTGATTTGCATATTAACTGCTGATAAATGAACTTTAAATGTTTCTTTTGAAAAATGTATTTCTGGTTTGGTTCATTGAGAATTGTTTTTTTCTTCTTTCCACTCAATTCATGATTTCTTTGTTCAAAATCCACAAAGCAAAACAGAAATTTGAAAGGATCTTTTAAGTTAGTCGCCAATTTCTTATAGGATGTCAAATATTCTTTAACTGAGTTATTGATTATTTTCTTTCAGTCTCTCAGCTTCCAGCAGACTCTGATCAAACGAGGAACAGTGAAGTCACATTAGAGTGCTCTCTGTTGACATACAACAATCGTCGCCCTTGTCAACCAAACGGCCTCCGCTGGTTGGACGAGACAGGAACTGAGGTTACTGAAGGTGTCCAAAAGCTTTCCAGAGGTACAGACTGCGTCTCTCATCTGAAGGTGAAGAATCAGAGTGGAGACAACAGGAAATTCACCTGCCAGTTTGTTCAGAGGAATAAAGTGGAGATACAGGCCCGACTACCCACCTGACCCCACAGGTAGGACCACGTAGGATCAGTGAGTCCATAAAGACCAAAAAGAAAATCCAAATATGACCCAAAACATGTTCAATATTCTGTAAATGGATTGTAATGAAGTAGTCTTATGTCCTTGATAATGTATTTTGAGAAAACAAGTGGATGTATATGTTGTAATTAAACTCAATCCTCTGATCACAGATCCTGATCCTGGTTCTAATCCTGATCCTGGTTCTAGTCCTGATCCTGGTTCTAATCCTGATCCTGGTTCTAATCCTGGTCCACCAACTAAAGGTTACTAACTTACTATATTTAAGTCATAAGAAAAAAAAGCTAATCTCTTTCCAGGAGGCATCACTCAAGCGAAAAGTCTTCTCTACACCAAACAGGGACATGACATCATTATGTCTTGTCATACACCACAGTTAAAGGCATTTCAGAAAGAACACGGTGTGCGCTGTGTTTACTGCAGAGTAGAAGGTGAGTGTACACGATCAAAAAGCAACAGCGCCCGTTAATAGGTGACCAAAACAATTGTTGGGAAAATAGCTACAGGACTCTGTTACACTAGTCCAGACGGGAGGTTATGAAGGCGTGGGTGAGGGTTTTCTGCCATGGAGTCAGAGAGTGATGGCTGGAGTCCAGATACATTGTTTAGATGGAAGAAGCAGATTTAGTGACAGATTTGATGTGGGAGTGGAATAAGAGGGTTGAGGCCAGGATGACGCCCAGTGCCTGACCACCCCCTTCCCTCTGCCCCGCTGGTCTGCGTTCACATAATTAACATCGTTCCATGCCCGAGTACACAGTCCATTACAGCAGGTGGCAGTATAGTTGGTTTGCAAATCCCCAAGATAGCAGAAAGAAGAAGCAACCATGGAAACCACTTGTGTGTCAAACGTTGCACATTCTTACTTTAAAGATGATCTGATCTGTGTTTGATTTCTTTAAATGCATGTTCACTTATTTAAAACATTATATTACTTCTGTTTGAGTTTTTCTGTTTAACAACTTCACCATAAAAGGAAGTGTAATGCTCATTATTGGTAAATCTGTTCATCTGACACGTCGACATTTTGTCAAACTTTTTTTTTTCTTTTTTTCCGCGTTTCTTGAGAAGTCTGTTAATAGCAACATGGTGAAGATGAAAGCTTGTGGGCCCTGCGATAGGCTCGTTGGGAGGAAGGGTAGTCTTTTAAAGTTATTTTAACACATTAGTTCAACCTCAAAGAGGAAACTGCAGCGTTTGCCTCACATCAGATCAATGTGAGTTTAAAGTCAGAGCAAACGAGCGCTGACAGAGAATGGCTCGACTGGAACTAATCATTGTTTTTGCTCTTCTGTTTGAAGGTAAAGCTCTTTTCTTTTTAAATACATGTTGTACTTTGACTTATCGTGATATTTTCATGACTACAAGAAACATTATTATCATGCCTCTTTTTTAAGATCTATTTTTGTTCTCTTACACGCCTCCACGACCTAACCGCTAGGCAAACGACACCCCTTAAGCCTCTTTTAGGACTTTAAAAGTTCATCAAAAGTTTTGTCAGAAGGGTAGAATTCCTTTTTTTGGAGAGATTCTTACATGTAATCAGAGGTCAGCAGATGTACTTAAGGAAATATAAATAATATGTGTACTCTCCATTACTCCTGTGGTTCATAAAGTCTCCTGAGTCTAGATATTTTGATAAGTATTCATGTTTTTTCGTAGCTATTAAGGATCAGAAGGATCTGGTTACTGTAAAACTGGTGATTATCTTTGAAATCAGTTTTAGAAATTTAAAAAATTAAGTGTGACAAATGATAAAACATTTTATTTAAATGCCTTACCATCGCTTACATGTAACAAACATAGTTAATACTTCTGCTCTTACAGATTACGGTTTTTATGTTGAAATGTTGAAATGTTTGCGCTCTCAGCAAAGATCTGTGGCACGCTGCACTGATACTGCTGAGAGCTAAGAACAGAAACAATACCGCCAAATACAACTGTAACCATAAGTACAATAAATGGTGAAATCTATGATGAGAGTATTCCTGACTGAAATGTCTTAGTGGTACCGGACCTTCATCAGGAAAACAGTTCTTCTAACATCTTAAACAGGAGGTGGCTACAAGCCTGCAACCAATCATCATCATGACGTCAGCTCTGAATCCACAAATCAACAAACAAATAAACATCTACTTCCTGGTTGAGAGCACACACATCAAAACAACAACTATTAAGAGGCAATTCTAAACAACATATCGATTCATAATTTGAAGTTCAGGGGAAACTAAAGGTCCCAAAAGGTATATATATATAGCGGCACATGGGGGGTGATTTCTTTTACAACTCATCCGTTTTGATTTCATAAACGATACGTGTTATCCATAGTGAGGCACGCAGCTGACATGATTGACAGTTGGGGGCGATGTAACGGTTTGTTAAAACCTGCCTGAGCTCCAGCTCTCAGCCTGTCTTTAGGTTGACTGAAAGTTAGACTGAGACAGGATGGACCGATGAGCCTCTGGTGCCCCCTGCAGGAACAGATGGTTGACATCACTCAGGCTTCAAACATTAATATTTACAGTCCATGGTGACGTCATTTGAAAGCTAAAAATAACCAACACACTAATAAATACAAGCCTACATAAGACAATAGTGGTGATGAGGAGTGCAAAGGGTGCTGATATAAACATGATAATAAAACATTTATGTAAGCAGTGTGCAGATCGATGTCAGAGGAGGAGGATAAGTGGAAGTGACACAGCTGATGTTGGTGTCACATGGTTATTTATGGTCTTATGGTCCTTTTTTAAAACAAAATAAAAACAAAACCTTATCATTTCTCTCCAGAGAGATATTTTAATGTTCATCTAATTCTTACAGTTCTCCTTTTGTTTTCCAGTGAGGTCTGACAATCGAGAACATCTCTATCGCTTCTACCACCCTGATCAAGATGTCACTCTGCCCTGTGGCATTAAAAATCAACCTCCACAGTGCTCCAGGATGTCATGGCTTTATAACAGAGATTCATCACACACTTTAATTGAGGCAAGCAGAGGAAAGATTGAGAAGACGTCACTCCGAGCTGACAGGCTGAGTTTGGACTCAAACTGCTCTTTGGTCATTAAACACATCACTGCTGAGGATGTTGGTTTCTACACGTGTCGACTGGAGCAGCAGTTCGAGTTTGATGTCAATGTGTTTCTAAGTCTTCTGACAGGTAGGTCTTATTTCTATGATTATCCAGATAATTTTGGCACGTTGTTTTTCTGGATGAAATATTGCATTTTGTTGCTCAACCTACGAACACATCAGCTTTTGTTTAACTGTGCTTTATCCTCTGAGGCTTACAGACTGTGTTGGTGTAGCCAGTTGATATCTGGATAAACTATTTTAAAAACCTGGATTTTAACTTCTCCTTTCTTATGGTAATCACTTTTTTAGAGTCCCACAAGCATTTGGAAAATTGAAAATGGAGTTGCAATTGAGCTTAATCTCTTAATGTATTATTTGTCTCTACATAAGAATGTAGAATCTGAACACAGGGGTCCGGGTTTTCAGCATGGAAAGTGTTCTGGTTTCAGTTTGTAATACATTTGTACTCCATGCTGTGTTAAGTCTATTTTGTTTAAATAGGTTAGACAGAAAAGGAAGAATACAGTTAGAACAAACAGAGGGTCTAGATTGTGGTTTTTGACAAGGTACTGAAGATGGCATGACTAAAGATGAACAGACACATATCAAGGTGTTTTAAGGAAAGTTCTGACTTTTCAGTGGATGTCAAATATTTCTTTAACTGAGTTATTTTTGTCTTTCAGTCTCTCAGCTTCCAGCAGACTCTGATCAAACGAGGAACAGTGAAGTCACATTAGAGTGCTCTCTGTTGAGATACATCGATGGTCGCCCTTGTCAACCAAACGGCCTCCACTGGTTGGACGAGACAGGAACTGAGGTTACTGAAGGTGTCCAAAAGCTTTCCAGAGGTACAGACTGCGTCTCTCATCTGAAGGTGAAGAATCAGAGTGGAGACAACAGGAAATTCACCTGCCAGTTTGTTCAGAGGAATAAAGTGGAGATACAGGCTGACTACCCACCTGACCTCATAGGTAGGACCATGTAGGATCAGTGAGTCCATAAAGACCAAAAAGAAAATCCAACTATGACCCAAAACATGTTCAATATTCTGTAAATGGATTGTAATGAAGTAGTCTTATGTCCTTGATAATGTATTTTGAGAAAACAAGTGGATGTATACGTTGTAATTAAACTCAATCCTCTGATCACAGATCCTGATCCTGGTTCTAATCCTGATCCTGGTTCTAATCCTGATCCTGGTTCTAATCCTGGTCCACCAACCAAAGGTTACTAACTTACTATATTTAAGTCATAAGAAAAAAAACCTACTCTCTTTCCAGGAGGCATCACTCAAGCGAAAAGTCTTCTCTACACCAAACAGGGACATGACATCATTATGTCTTGTCATACACCACAGTTAAAGGCATTTCAGAAAGAACACGGTGTGCGCTGTGTTTACTGCAGAGTAGAAGGTGAGTGTACACGATCAAAAAGCAACAGCGCCCGTTAATAGGTGACCGAAATCAATTATTGGGAAAATAGCTACAGGACTCTGTTACACTAGTCCAGACGGGAGGTTATAAGGCGTGGGTGAGGGTTTTCTGCCATGGAGTCAGAGAGTGATGGCCGGAGTCCAGATACATTGTTTAGATGGAAGAAGCAGATTTAGTGACAGATTTGATGTGGGAGTGGAATAAGAGGGTTGAGGCCAGGATGACGCCCAGGCTGGGACCTCAGAGGATGGGTGCCCCCGTTAGATTCCAGTAAGATGCCACCAACCTCCCTGAGCAGCGCCTCTGGGACCAAAACCATGAGCTCAGCTTTATTCTTATTGAGTTTGAGGAAATTGGTTCCCATCCAGGTTTGGATGGACCAGGGAGTGGGGGTGAGTTTGGTGCTGAAGTAGAGCTGTCTGTCATCGGCGTAGGAGTGGATACTTTTGCCTTTTTAAAACTGCCTGACAGCTAAAATTGACGAGCGACTTTAGAGAGGTAGAGGAAGAATGATGAGAGGAAACAAAGACAAAGTTGTTGTAGCTTTAAAGATTTTTTTTTAACAGCTGTATTGATATTTCAAACAATTAAATAATCTTCCTCCCTGACAAACTGGCTATTTAGCTTTTTGCAGATACTCATTGACTGATTTTTTTTTTTTCCTTATAAGCCTCACTCTGGTCTTCTCTGAGCTACATCATGCTGGCTCTGCGTTTTTCAGCTCTCATCTTAATGATCGTGACCACAGCTTTGGTCTTCAGCCTCAGAGGTGAGGAAACAAACGGCATGAATTTGATACGACTGGATAATATGAATAATTCATAGAACATTAATACTGCTTTTTTAAAACTTTATTTCCAGGCTACATCAAATCACTGCACAAAGGAAACAATGTGAGTTTAAAACTAACTTGAATGATTTGAAAAATGTAATGTAAGGATTCCTTTGACTTTGATGATACCTGTGAGACCATAGACGGTGCTGCAGTTTGCTCTGTTGACACATTTTTCTCAGACTCTCACTTGTTGTGTTTTATTTCACAGGTGCATGAGGAAGATGATGAGGATGTCATCGAACTCACCTATGAAAATGTAGAAGCACGCCCTCCTGCTGCTGAAGTGCACTGATCAACAACTTCTGGATCAACTTTAACTCACAAGAACGTTGAGCGTCATCGAGTCATTCTTCTGATCGATCCAAGCTTTGAGTTAAAATGACATGAATGTGATTTTAGTGGCTATTTGTCCAAGAAATGTTAATAACGTTTAAATCAAACATGATCAGACGGTCACTGAGGCACAGCAGGGATGTGCTGTACGCAGACAAAATAAGTCTTTTGTCCATGCAAGGGATCAACATTTTACATAATTTTATCCAAAATCAAGCAAGCAAACAAAAAAAGAAAATCATGGCTCCTGCTGCTTTAAACCATGGGCCCACCCAGGTGCATGCTGGTCCTCTAGAGCTGCAAATCTACCTACAGTATATAACCTCAGGTGCCTACAGTGTTACCAAGCAAAACAAAACATAGAAATGATGCAACAACAAAACATACTACACAAATAGCAGGCAAAAGTACAGAAGGTTAACATGTCTGGTTTTCTCTTGATATGAGTGAATTACAGTCGTTTTCTTGAGGTCTTGACAAATTAACTCCATATCACAGAGTTGCCATTTAGAGATATCGACATAAATAAAACGAAAATCTTGGAAAATTATTGGAAATATCGAATCATCAGGAAAACAGAGTCAAAAAATAAATATGTATCTGTCCACTTCCGTACATAAGACAATATGATCAAAAATCTCATCTTAATCAAGCTCAAGTTTAGGATTTTCAAATAAATATTATTGGTAAATTAATAAATACTCAACTAGAAAAAAATCTCCTGTAGGGATGATTATTTGATTATTTTATGTTTAAGATATAATATTTTTTTTTTTGTTTTTTTACTTCTTCAAATTTAAATATGTCAGGATTTTACAGTGCCAACAACAAGCAGATACAGGGGTGTGTCCAGACTTTTTTAACTGGGGTGTCCCCCCTGAGGTACTGACTTATTTAACAAAATTTGGCAACATATGAATCTTCTTAGCATGATTCTTTAGGGACTCTAAAACCAAGATGTTTGTGCAAAGTCACAATTTTAAGTCCTTAGAAAATTGCATACAAATGCTTGTAATCCGACATATCTCCATTAATGCCTGTCCTGAGGTCCGTAATAAAGTATGTCTAATACAACTTTTAAATGTATATGCTGTATATATATTCACACAGATGATGCCTCCTAGTGTTAAACCTAAGGAAGTGCATCATCCAGTAGTTTGGAATATGTGTTTGGAGAATATCAAAATGATAAAGACAATCTGACTGTATATAATATATTACCATATTTTAGAAAACTAACATCACTCACAATGTCTTAAAACTAGAAAAGGTTTATTTCACAATTAACATCGACTGAATCTAAGGAAATAACCTGTTGGCTAGTTACCAGCCTGTTAGCTAAGCTAGCAAGCTGTCATACTGTCTCTCAGAAGTCCACCTCAAAAGTTATATTTTTATAAATGTGTTTGAAGCAAATTGTGGTGTTTATTGTTGTTGTTTTTTATTATTATTATTTCGTGCTCAGGGGAAACTTACATTTAAATAAAGTAGTATGATAAATGGTCAGTTACAAAGAAAACAGTTAAGAAAAAGAAACGAGTAAGGGTAGTCAAATATGGTGGTTAATCATATCCTGGAAAAAGAAGGTATAAGGCTGATATGCAGTCATAGAGCAGTTAATATCTGCACAATTCATATAACGTGACGATCAAGTTTATACATATACAAAAGTTGTAGCTTATAGTGCAACAAAGCCAGAGTATAGGCGCTTGCTGTTTGTCTGTATGTAAACAATGTTTTTGTCAAAAGCGGCCTTAAAATCCTTCAATAAACTCAACATTTATGAACAATTTCTGTTTGTGTGAGAGCTCTTTCAAACATAACATGGAACAAAGTTAACAGAACTTCCATCAGATACGTGTGCATTTTGTTTCAATTACGGCTCTGGGCTCCCTCGTCCATCGACGAGCTGCGTTCTCAGAG